ATCAAAGTAAACGTGCCGGGAAGTGAACACACGGTGGGAGACGGGATCGTAGCACCGATATCCCTTGGAGTTGGAGGGGTAGCCGATGAAAATGCAAGCGACAGAACGAGGTGCTAGTTTGTGAGGAGCGGAGTCGACAGTGCTAGGATAGCAAAGGCACCCGAAAATACGCAAGCCATCATAAGAAGGGGGCGTACCGAAGAGAAGATGGTGAGGTGCATAGTTCCACCGTGGGCGGCAAGTGCGAAGGTTAAGGAGAAGAGAAGCAGTGGCGAGTGCGTCCAGCCAGAAACGAGACGGCACATTAGCATGGAACAGGAGCGTGCGAACGCAGTCGTTCAGAGTGCGAAGGACGCGTTCGGCTCGACCGTTCTGCTGGGAAGTATACGGGCATGTGAGACGAAAAACTGTGCCGTGGTGCGACAGAAAAGTGCGGAAAGCAAGGTTGTCGAACTCTTTTCCATTGTCAGTCTGAAGAGCAAGGATGGGGCGCCCAAACTGCATGCTGACATAGGAGTAAAAAGCCGTCAAAGTGGGGAGTGCATCCGACTTCCTGCGCAAAGGAAAAGTCCACACATAATGAGAATAATCATCAAGGATAACTAGATAATATAAATAGCCCGAATTACTAGGAACCGGAGAGGTCCACACATCGCTATGAATCAACTGAAAAGGAAAAGAAGCTATGGTGGTGGATTCATTAAACAGGAGGCGAACATGTTTGCCGACACGACAGGCATGACAGGTGTGATCCTCTATCTTATGACAACTGAAACTGAAACTCCTAAGAATATGACGAAGTATGACGGGGTTGGGATGACCCAAACGAGCATGCCAGAGATCGACGCCGGCGGAGAGAGCAACCGGTGCGGTGGTGGAGGTGGACGGCAAATGCACCGAATAGAGCTCGTCGAGGCTATCACATCGGTGAAGTACCATCCTGGTTCAAGCGCCCTTGACACAAAATCCAAGCTCGTCAAATTCAACAGTAACAGGATTTTCACAAGTTAAACGACGAACGAAAACAAGGTTCTTAATAAGATGAGGTGACACAAGTATGTTAGACAAAGTAATAGGCATGGAAGTAGAAGGAAAAGAAGTGTGCCCGACATGTGTGATAGGGAGTGTGGAACTGTCGCCGACAATGATGCGGCAGTCGGTGGTGACGGGAGTGAAGGAGGCAAGATTACCAGGATGAGCAAACATGTGAGCCGTAGCCCCGGTGTCCATGTACCAATCATCACCTCCTGTGTAGTTGTTCGGCGTAGGAGCGGCATGCAGCCCGGTGAGGAGCACCGGGTCCCAGGACGCCGGCGGCAGGGCCGGCGAGGGCGACGGAGACGCCATGGGGAGGCCGTAGCCGCCGCTCAGCTGTGGCGGTGAGTACTCTCCATACAGATGCGGAGCCGCGAAGTACGCATGATGCGCAGGAGGGGCGGGAGCCTGCTGGCCTGCTGACGACCCACCAGTACCCGGGAGACTCGTACGCAGGCGGAGCCCCAAACGCAGGCGGAGACCCGTACGTGGATGCGGGCGGAGCCCCATATGCCCCATATGTAGGATACCCGTACGTGGGAACGGGCACGTCGTAGGTGGCAGCCGCCCCGTACGGTGACGGGGCCGCGCCGTAGGGCACCGGCAGCGGGACGGCAAAGACGGCGGTGGACGGCCGGCGGATGCCATCGCTGGTCCGACGACGGCAGTCAGCGCGGTTGGGTGGCAGCAGACACCGAGTATTTCCGGCGACGAACGACAATGACGAACGAAGCAAAACACTGGATTCCGATCGACCCCTCAGTGCAAAGCCAGCTTCAACTAGCTAATCGATCTTCGCTTGGACGTGTGCTAGTACTAGTACGTGGGTACTAGTACTTCCGGGACCACTTGATTGTTTGATGGCCGCAGGCGAGCGATGCTGGCGAGCGGATCGGGTGAGGCAGCGAGACTGCCGAGCGGATTAGGCGAGGCTGGCGGCGCTGGGTAGCGCGCGCGGCTGAGAGGAGAGGCGGCCGGCGCGGAAGACGCGCGGGCGGCGGCGGCGGCGGCGGCGCAGGGGAGGTGCGCCGCAGCGACGGCGGCAGCGGAAGGCTAGGGTTAGAACCTAAAAACTGATACCATGTATGTTATTGAAATTGCACGATATATTGCTCATGTGTAAAGACACGAATATATGATGTACAAGAGATGGGCCACGACCTCAGCTATACAAGTAACTAAGAGGTGGACCCAATACAAGATATGTACAACACATATATACTCACAATTCACCTACTTGTGCCCTACGCCGCCGCAGCTCCGTTGCACTAAACTACGCCGACCACCCTCCCCCCCCCCTCCAGGGCGGCCGTCTGCGCTGGCCCACCGTGCCGCCATCGCTACACCTCACAACGTTCTGTCACCGACTTGCGGGCCCTAACGACCTTTAATAGAAAATAGAAAAAATATATGGGAATAAGCTTTGTAAAAACTTAGAAAAATAGTTGTGTGATAAACTTTTCGTAAATTATACGATCATGAACCATAGAAAGGTTTTTAGAGGGTTTGTTGGAGTTGCCCTTATTGAACGTGATCCTCGGTGTTCACCGAGCAACACACTCCCCGCGACTGAGCGCCTGGCCGATCACCGGAGTCCAAATATTCTTCATTGTATTATGTTTTACGTTGTAAATTATACGATCATGGATCTTCATGTGTTTCTACATAGCCTCTGTGGTGTGTGTTGGGTCAACGTTCGTCTACAACGAAGTCGGAGTGGGATTAGGGATGACGATGACGCCTGCTTGACGAGAAGTGACGATGATGACACCTTTGTGCTAACTCGACGAGGCATTCTTTGTAAAGGTGTGTAGAGTATCTTGTATTTGCCGCTTAGCGGATTGTGACGGTTTTTGCCCGGTTTTTTGTTAATTAACCATGCAATTTTCTTCTGCTTAATTAATGGACAAGGCAAGTCTTTTGCTTCTGTTTTGATATTTTTATGGTTTACGGTTATCAGGTACGGCGATCCTCTCGTTTCCTCTCCTAACCCTAGGCGATTAAAATAAACTTTTCACGACACACTTAACATGTGAGTCCGCAGATCCATCCGGCGGCCGATGGTGGGGAAGGAATTATGATGCTTCCGCTTCGGCTAATAGTTTAGACTATGATTTGTTAGTCCTCGCAGGTGCGACTGTAAGACGAATGGCGACGCTTCGTCTTTGAGTTTGTCTTTTGGCTTTGATGCCCCTCGAGTTCATTAGTTTGGACGTAGTTGACAGACCTCAGGCGTAGATTCCCGTCGTCTCATTGGGGAAGTGAGGTTAAGTTTTCTCGTCATATGGCGACACTTGATGTCATGTGATTCAGATCCATGCAAGGGTTGAACGACCATGACTGCGGGTCCAGGGGCACGTGCACAAAGGCTTCCGCTATCATCGACAAAGGTAAAGCCGACTCAGGTAGGGAAGCAACGACAATGGGGCGTCGACGGTGCGTTATGGCGGCATCAGTGCTCGTTCGATGGTCTAAAAATCTCATGGTATTTTTTATTATGTTTGAGGCACTTTGTACTTTCGGCGAACTTTTACAACAGATCTAAAATTTTTGGGATACAAGAGATGCCTGAAACCTGATCTCGCGGAGGTAGATTTGTGGGAGCAGTCTAACAAAACACACAAGAAACCAAGTCGCTCCTCCTCCTCCAAGAAAGAAAGCTAGGGTTTCTGCCTCTCGCCGGCGCCGCCGCAGGTCCGCCTCGTCTCCGGTGGCTCTAGGGCCATGGGGGCGCAGTGGATCCTGCCAAGGGCCTGCGGGAGGGCTCCGTTTTCAGTCGTTTTTTCCTATCTTATTAGGGTTTGTGTCCTGGTCAGGAAGGCGAGGCGGCGGTGGCTCCTTGAAGATGGAATAAAGGTCTCCCCGCCTAGCCCCCGTTCCGAGGGTGCATCTAGCATTATTGGTGGACGTGTGGAGGTGTGTCTCCGGCGGATCTATCTTTGGTGGATTTGCTCGGATCTCGTCGTTGTTCGTCTACATTCGTGTGTCTTCAGGTTGAATCCTTCCAACCTACGTTATTCTTCATCGGCGGCGGTTGCTGTTCTGATGCGCTGGTCCTATGGGGCCTTAGCACGACGACTTCCCGACTGCCTACTACAACAAGTTGTGCCCGACTCCGGCGATGGAGGGGTGATGATGGCGGCGCGCCTTCGTCTCGCTTCAGTGCTTGTAGTCGTCGCTAGGTGGTCTACGAATCTGAATGTAATTTTTATTTTTGATGTGCGTTGTACTGCCATGATCGAAGATGAATATATTGGAAGTTTTTCCAAAAAAAAAAAGATTTGTGGGAGCAGTGAAGCAATCTCCCCGCACGATCCAGACAGGGGAGGGGACCCAAATCCTACGAGCGGGTCTCTGATTATTGGCGACCGTCCGTCGGGCAGGTGGCTCAGATTCCGCACCCCGTCCCACTCCCGTCGCCTCGCCACCGCCCCCCCAGATAAATCCCCTCCGCCAGCGCCGCCTCCCTCCCTCCCTCCCCCCTCCCCTCCGCGTCCGCCCCGGCC